AAATTGCTTCGGTTTTAGATGCATTAATTTTGATACCCCATTTTGTATAGTACTGTGCTACTTTCTCCAAATGATTTTTCACTTTACATAAAGCCGTACTTGGCGATTCATCATGTGCATATAGCAAGGAATCGTCTGCATAAAGGATACCACAAGAATACCCAAAATGATGTGGAAAATCGTACATGAATATACTATATAAATGGGGTGACAAAATGGAACCTTGAGGAACCCCACATCCAATATCCACGAACTCGGATACGAGTTGCTGAAACTGAACACAAAATTTTCTATTTGAGAAAAAACTATAAAACAATTTTATAACAAATGGATCAAAATTAAGTTGTATCATTTTATATAATATTCCTAAGTGGGATGCATGGTCAAATGCCTTTTCTACATCAAGTGAAATAGCTACTGTACATCTTCGTTCTCTTAGATTACATATTATATCATTTTCAAATTTAAGTAAAGCATCTGTCGTAGAGTGGCCACTTTTAAATCCGAATTGCAGATTTGGAATATATGAAGAATTAAGGCCATATTCCATTTTAATGCGTATTATTCTCTCTAATAATTTCCCAAGGTTGGATAGCATAGATATGGGTCTCAAATTGTTAATATCCGAATTATTTGGTTTTTTCAGAACCGGGACAATTTTGGAAATTTTCCATTTATCAGGAAAATATGCGTTATTCAGACAATTATTAAATATTATCGCTAGGTATACAAACGCCTTAGCATGAAGCTTTTTTATTATAAAGTTTGATATGTTGTCCAATCCACAGGACTTTTTATTATTAATGTCTTTGCTAAGGTTAATAATTTCGTCCATATTTGTTAGCCTTGGGTTTCTCATAAAATTAAGAGAAGATTCCATGGCATTAAAATTAAGCATATGAGTTCTGCTGGCTATTGTGTTATAAACTATATCTTCCATATCATGTATGTCTTCACCTAAATATGAATGACTATAAATAGTACCGAAATATTGTTTAAGTTCATCGCATGCAACTAGATTATCGTCAATCAAAGCTCCATTTTCTGTTAATTTATTTAGGTTTGCTTTTCGTTTATGACCAATGATATTATACACCTGCTTATGCGCTTTTGGCCCCGGTTTTATTTGCTTAAGCCTTTCAGAAAATATTTTAGACTGTTCTATTTCAACTTGTCTTTTAATTATAGTACCTAAAAGTTGCACCTGTTTTGATAATAAACGGTAATTTGGATCCGATCTATCTCGAGTCCTATTATAGATTTTCTTCAAATCCTTCTGCCATGAATACTTTAATTTAAAGAGGTTTTTTATTGCATCTGAAAGGATGTATTTTTTACCCATTTTTTAATTTCCGAGTGCCTGTTATGAACATTAGTTATCACATCTGAAATATTGTCAATATAATAATCTATCTCAATGTTAGAAAGATTCCGTTCTGAATTCGGAAAGTTATTCAGCAAACCATCTTGAATATCAACTCGGAATGTATCCCAATTTGTGTTTTTATAGGAAGTATATGATTTTAGAGGACTTAAAATAATTGAAAACGATGACAATTTTAAGTGTAATTTTAAGGGAAAATGGTCAGAAAAAGTTGGTAATGAGCTAATTTGGAAATTTTGAGAAATCGGATCGACTAAGTTGGTGCTTACTATAAAATGGTCTAGAAATGATGCACCATTCGGGAAAGATGGAACGGAGTCTGAGATTCTTAAAAAATCCACCGACGATTCCCGAATGCATTCATAAAAGGTGTTCCCATTCAAATTATTTAATGTGGCACCCCAAGCCGAGTGTCTGGAGTTAAAATCACCCCCTATTATTACTCCGTAGTAATTTCGGGAAATAATATTCAATGCTTCCAAACTGGCATTATATTGAGTGCGATCAGCATTGCATGGGATGTAGATCGAACCAATCAAAACACTTTCTTCAACGCCATTTAAAATTATACCAATACTTAAAAACAAGCTAGGATATGTAAAATCCCTTACAAACACCTTTTGAAATTTGAATGATTTTCTTAAAGCTATTGCCTTGGGCCTTGGGAACTATTATCCCTTACGAACGCGTAATTTTCTAAAGCAACTCTATGGGCATCTCTTAAGTGAGTTTCTTGTATAAAGGCGAAATCAATGTTGTTTGAATTTAAAATCTTTGATAATTCAATTCTACGACTCGCTTCAATAAGCGATCTAACATTAAATGACAGAAAATTTAAAAAATTACGGACCATTTTTTTGTTATATTTCCTCTAAAAGTTATAAGCATTGAATCCTTGCTTGATCCTTTGACAGTGTTCTATAGTGCCTAACAAAATTTTCGATTTTGTCCTCCAGGGTTATAGTTTCGGCCTGACAAATATCCTTAGCAATTTTCAAAAATGCCTCTATTATAATAGGTTTTGATCTTATTTGCTGAGAGTCTGTAAAACAACCAGCGTATGTTCCGCTTGGGTTGCATGTGTTGAAACCGTTTAACACTTTTGACACATTACAGGAAGCTAATGCCTTTTTTTCCTTAGCTATACTCTTAGTTTGTTCCTGATTCTTTACGTAATCTTTGTAAGCGCTACTGCCCCTATAATTAGACGGATGACCAAATTGCTTGCAATTCGCACATTAAGGCTTATTTTCTTCATTAGATACGAATTTGCAGTCACCTGGTGCGTGCTTTTGATCACATTTCATACAGACATATAGTCTGCTACAATTTTTTGAGATATGGCCCCAATGTTGGCAACTCCAACATTGTACAACCTTTAAATTTGATTTGGGTACTTCCCATGTTACCTTTTGTGAGCAAATATATTTTGGGCCCTTAATTCAGTTACAGATTTTCCTGGCAATACAGTAATCAAGTAAAGCCCAGTATCAATATTATTTTTTTTAGAAAATTCGGTCGAAAATTTCCTAACATCCTCCACCGTATTAGGCACTAACTCAATAATATCGCTCTTTATCTCGTCTAAGGTTGTTTTGTAATGAAGTCCCCTTAAAACTAATCGAGAACGCTTATGTTCTTTAGGTGTATATGTGTATGCTGGTATTTCCTTGGTTTTAAGGAGATCAATCATTTCTGAATGAACTGCAGGGTCCTTAAGATATAGTTTACTTTTTCTTTGGCTCTTGTTTACAATTTTAAAAACAATGTTCTTGGATTTAAGTGTTCGTATCAAATCGGTTATGTTTACATCGAAAAGAAAAATTGGAGGGCAAAACCCCTTAAGAGTATTCACAGAATTGGGTGATTTTTCACTTCTACTAACAGACGCATTTTGCTCTTTGAAATTGATTTCACGTTGGCTTTGAGACGGCTGTGCTCTTGGGATAGATGGTTCAAGAAGTATGTCAATATCATTCAATAATGCGAATCGATTTTGTGAATTCTGTGTCACTCTTAGGGCTATGTCAGATGACTCACAAATTCGGGGACGTTTAGTTTGAGATTGACCACTTTCGAACGTAAGATCGGCAACAGAACCTATTCTACTAACCTTATCTAGTGAACTTACGGGGAGAAATTCATTTTGGCTTGCATCGCTACAATGTGCCCTTTCATCATTTGCTTTGGATTTGTACCTTGATTTGGTGCTTAAATCTTTCGACTTCGCATTGTTTTGGGAAACTTCGGAAGCGTTCAATAATTCCTCCGAGCAAAATTTGGATGACAATTTCGTATTGATTCTCTTCGATTTCCTGCTATCCGCACATTTATCCGGGGGGACATTTTCGGATGAAATTATTTCCTCCACAGGCAACCAATCGTCCATAATAAGATATTTCTCTTATCAGGATTTTATAATTGTATATACATATGTATGTATATTTTTTTTAATTTTCCAAATTTAGTTTTCTTTTTCAGACACAAAAAAAATACGTCTATTCAGTTCGAAAACTTAAATGAGAATCCATCTCCGTACCAAAAATTATTAATATTGACCCAAGTTTCAGGTAGCCACATGAACATGTTTTCCAAACAAATTGACTATAATTTGGTACTTTGATTTCCCATTTAATAACACATATCCGCACCAAGCTTCAGGGTATCCCCATATAATGGTACCCCCCAATATTTGGCATATTAGGAATTACGGGCACGTTTTTCCACCGAATTGGCTGTAATTTTGTATTTTAGGTTCTCATTGAATAACACATATTCGTACTAACACTTATTAATATTAATTTTGTTTTCTTATTGTATATCACATTTCATTATATGGAATACCAAACAACTAAGAGTAGCAATGTGTGTGTAAACATTAAACATTGTGAACTCTGTCGTGATTTTAACATGCAGTCGCGCCTGGCCAAATCGACATAGAATTTTATTCTGAAATGACCACTCTTTTATATGCGATTCGTTCAAAAAAAAAAAAAAAAAAACAATCTATGCAGAATTGATGAAAACAAATCTTATATGTATGCCACTAATGTATTTATTCCACCCTATTACATTAAGCAAAATGTATAATTCCTTTCTATTGGTATCCTTCAGTTTGTAAAATTGCTATTTTGCATATCTAAACACAGAACACATTTAAAGTCATTTGAAAATTGGAGAGAGTTCAGTGTTTCTGTTTCTTTTTTCTTCTTTTTTGTTTTTTGAATTACTTGTTTTAATTTTATTTTCTATTTTCGTTGGTCATCTGGTTTCGTTGGTTTGGTGTTTCTGTTTAGCTGGCTTTAGTTTCCGTTTCCGCTTAAAATAAGTTCTTACAACTGCTAAAGTGTCTGTTTGTTGCAATGGGCAGCAAAACGGCACTTCGGTATCTGAAATTGAATAGCTACTATACAGACTGTGTTTATTTTTTCTTTTGTATGTTTGCCTTCATTATATTGCTAAACACATTTAAAAGTCAATTAGATAATTAGAGATTAAGGATATTAGCTATTTGCTCAAGAATATACACATGGACATACATCTATTTGCTCATTCAATATTTGGTTCCCATTTTTTCCGTTGGTGTTTGCATTTAATTTTTTGTTTAACCTCGCAGTATATCTGTATGTTTGTTCTTTTTTCCAGACAATGCCGCCAAATGCAATGAAGGACAATTCCGATGTAAGGCAAGTCATAAATGCATACCCAACAATTGGGTATGCGATGGCGAATTTGATTGTGGCGATTTGGATACATCCGATGAAATTAATTGTAAGTTCATAATATGACTGCTGTGTGAGTTGAATAGCAATCCGACGTACCCATACAAATTCTTCCAAGCATAGTGACCCAAAGTGTCAAACATATTAACTGACTGATTGGTTAGTTTGTGGAAAGTGTGAAGTGACTGGCTGGAACGACTTGTTGGTGGGAATGGACGCTATAAACCAAAACTCTTTGCCGTTATCCATTGTTTTATCGTGCGCTTTTATATGTTTTCTTTTCTTGCTTTTTTATTATTTCAGGTCCTTCGGATTCTTTAAAGTGCCTTTCATATCAAAGAGAATGCGGCAATGGCGTTTGTCTGGATATATCAAAGTTCTGTGATGGCAATTGGGATTGTGATAACGATGAACTTAAATGTGGTATGTATATAGCGTTGATAGCGTATAAACTTTGTTTTTCTTTTGTCTATATATGTGCGCTCACACACACACGTACATACATTTTCACACAGATATATGTTCAATACTCTTTTGCATACTATTTGCTTCGAAAAATATGCAATATTTTTCCACCATCCCTTGAGGCAATGGTGGTGCCACAAACTTTTGGCGGAAAAGTAACAATAATATGGAATACAAATGTGAAAATTTTCCACACCGCGAAGTTTATCCATATGTTAAAAATTCGTAGTTATATTTATTCTTCTCATTTTTGCTGAAAAGAATGAATGTTTTGTCCGTTGGCAGTATTTTTACGACCAGGTATACTTGCAACAAATCGATAAAGGAGGATGATGCAGTAGTTGTTTTCTAGTAAATTGCACCGTGAACTTTATGATTGATAATTGATCATTTTAATATCCGAAATACGGGGGATATAGTTATGTGGGACCTACCCCGAAACTTCAATATTTTTGGTATTAATTTTTTTACCTGATGAGAATCTTAATTAATGCCAATTTGGTTGAAAACTTCCCAAAATAGCAAAAATTTTTATTATATGGGGGCTAACATAAAAAATAATCCAATATTAATAATTTTTGGTAGAAATATATGCTGCCTCCTGAAAACCTAATATATGTTGTTACGGCAAATTCGGATGAAAAACGTTCCCAAAATACCGAGTATTAAACATTTCATTATATGTGGTCAATTTTCAGTGGTAAAAATTTATGTGATCTATCTTAACATTGGAAGTTCCATCGTGATTTCAATAGTGGGACATTAATATATTTCGAAGTGTTACAAACAGACTGACAAATTAAATTTTGTATGGTATTTTTTGTGGGGGCTATGTCAAAACATAAATCCATACCAACATTTTCGGCAAAAATATTTTTCACCTTTCAAGAAGACAGAATACCTTCAAAATAGTCAACTTTTCCGCAAAAATTCGTTTTACCCCCCAAGAACCCAGAATGCCGAATTACATTCACATAATTACTAAAATGCGCCTGAATATGAAAATACCGAAAATGGATCGTGACCTTTACATGGAGACTATGTTAATATGGACTTATAGTTATAATTTTCTGTGTAAGTATTTGCAGCCTCCAAATACACAGAATCCCAAAGCCTCTTTGGTGGGGAAAATGCAGCTGAAATGTTTAAAATACCGAAAATATTCAGGGATCTTTATATGAAGGCTATGTCGAAATATATGCTAATATTATTTAGGGTCAAGTATTTTATCCTTCGAAATGCCTCCTTCTAGCCATGTCACTTGAAATGTTATTTAAACACCTTCATCAAAGTGGACTTTTATATTTTGTCAAAATATGGACCTATATTAAATTTTTTTTGCAAAGAAATTGTAAATACACGAAAAACACGGAACGATAAATTACCGTCACTTCTGTTGAAAAATGAGTCTAGGACCGTTAACATAGATAACATTTTATACACTCCTCCACTATGTATGACAATCCTGATATATAAATCTAATGTGGGCTGTAAGGAAAAAGTCATCTTATGATAGGACCTTAATAATAATTTTTGTAGTGAGATTCGACAGTCAATGAGAATACAAAATACCAACTTATTCGTTTGGAAAAAGTGTCCAAAATCCCCAAAATACCGAATATTGAGGGGTACCGTTATATGCGTAAATCGGCATAGAATTATGAATAATATATTAGGTTGGGGAAAAGGAAATCCATTATTTTATATGAAGTATATGTCTTTACTTAATATGCTTCGGAATATCCGATTTGTCCAAATATGTACCGTTTTGTTGTATGATTTGTTGCCATTTTAAAGGTGACTTCATAATGCCTCTCTCTCTCTCGTAGAAGTCCTGCTCTCTATTTGGAAAAAAACTCCAGTAGTCGATTTTCACAATCCTCCCTAGATATCCGATCCGGACTTCCCAACCATGTTCCTGAAATTTCTGGCGAGTCACTGTAGATGTGTGTGGCCTAGCGTTGGCCTGGTGGAACATGACAGCTCTCCTGTTGTCCAATTCTGGTCAAAGCTATCTTTAAACGGCCCAGTTGTTGACAGTAGAAATCCGAATATAGCGTTTGGCCATATGGAAGCAACGCATAATAAATAATCCGCTTCCAGTTCCACCAAATGCATAACAGAACCTTTCTGGCCGTTAGTCCTTTTTGATTCCAGCTTTGTGTAAATGGTTTAAAACAGTTTTATGGTCGATTTTTAGCTCTTGGGCGATGTTACGACTGTTAACATGCCGCTCAACTTCGATCGTTTCTCCGATTTTATCGACAATTTCGACGACCGGCCCAATGGATTTCTTTTTCCTTAACCTAATATATACTTTATGGGGTCTCCGGTGAATATTTCGAGGTGTTGCAAACGGAATGCCAAATTTAATTATTATTATAGTATACACTCCACCCTAATATACACCGCTTTATGGTGGAAGGTACTCTTATTTGACAATTTTCATGGAGAAGTATTTTCTTTACCTATAATCTGGAAAGTCATACCATTGGCGAGACCTTTATATAGGGGATTAGTCAAAACAAAATCCTAAAACGTCAAATTAGAACCTTTTCGGTTGGAAAATAATAATACGAAAATTGGGCGGACTGTTATATCGGAGCTGTACCAACTTAATTTGTAATACCAAACGTGGCTAATGATGGAGTCTATAAATATCGAAGAATTTATAGATCAGAATCGTCCAATATATATATACATATATATTGATGACAAGGTAGAATTTATTTAGTGGACTTCCTCAAAGATGGGTCAACGAAACTTGGATTGTGTTCACTATATATGATATTGAACTTCAGGTGACATTTTATTCTTCAGACATCTCTCCTTATGATATTCCAATCGTATAATCGCCAACAATGAGTTTTTCTGATTGTCCACAATGCGTTTTATTAAATGTAAATTCGCCAGAGTTGCATATGTTTTGACTCAGCTGAAATCGAGTTATCCATTTTATCAGTAAAATTTACAGGAAAATACCAACAATTTCTGGGAAAATTACAATTACAGAAAAATACCAGGTTGACCTCTTTTTTAACTTCAAATAAAGAGATTACTACAAAATTTTCACATATGTTGCATATGTTTTGACCACCACTGTATATATATTATGTTTTGTATTTTTTCCCAAAATTTCTTCATTCTTTATAAATCTATATCAAGTGTAATTGTAGGTGTGAAATTTCTTCAATTTCAAAATATAGTACTATCACAATTTAGTTTCCAGTTTTTTACACCCAAAAAAATTGTATAACGCACATTTTTTTATGCTACCGGATATCGCAGTAGCTAACAGCAGTATATGTTTCTGTATCATAAACACTATAACTTTATTTCCATTCCACAATCAAAAAAGAAAACGTTGTTATTATTACTAAATGTCTATATGTGTGTGTAGAGCGTATATTTTTTGTCGTTGTTGTTGTTGCTGTTCTTTTTATATAACTCTCATTGCCTGTTTACATTTCAACCATCATCCACATCTTCCATTCACACAGATAAACAAGACGCCGAATGCAGTACCTTAAAATGTTCATTCAACTGCAAGCTGACACCCCAGGGCCCAACATGTTATTGTGCGCCAGGACAAATGCCTGTCAATAATACGCAATGCGTGGACTTCGACGAATGCACTATTGAGGGCATATGCGATCATCAGTGTCATAATACACCCGGCTCCTATGAATGTTCCTGTGCGCCGGGATATAGCAAGCAAAGAAATCGCTGTTACGCCATTAACGGTAAGTTCCGTTTTGTATGAAATTCCTGTTCTTGTTTTGTTACAAAAGGGGGTTTTGATATTTTTTCTGGAATTGTTGGTGCATAAAGTCGTATTTATGTACAGCATTTCCTATGTGATTGTAGCTTTGAAAGCAGATTATATACTTTTGGAATGTCTTTGGTTTTTTGATACACAAATATGAGTAGAGTCAATGACATATGGAAGGGCAATTTGGGCGATTTTTTATATAATCAATATTTATAAAATAAATGAAAACATATATATATATATATATATATATAATATCAACATATAAGCAAGTACTGCATTGACAACATATAGTTGTGTCGATGGACGGGTAACATCGGCGGCTGCTCATGAGGATGGTCCACTGTAGTCATGAGAAAACACCCTGTTGCAGCGCCCCATGTGCTGCCAGCTAGTGACTTGAGGCATTGTTCCTACTTCTCAGCTTACCTTATAAAGCATTAGCTTGCGCAGAGGACTTGAAAAAGCTATCGAACAGGGAGTATCCCTGTTTTATCCACCCTGTTTTAATCCACACACTGTCGGAGATTTGTCTTCTCTATATAATCGAAAAGCTTGGCATGGTTGATAGTATCGAAGGCCTTCGATAGGTCAAGTACCACCATAAATGTTCAGTTCGCTTCAAGTGTCTTTGCTACTGGCGGTAGGAGTGAATTGGGCCTGTACAATTCATCACTGCTGGCATCCTTGCCAGGCTTCATTAGCGGGACCTATTTTCCTGGCTTCAGGAACTATGTGGGTGGTCAACGACTCAGCTCGGAGTCCCATTGTGCGACGTAGTACACTTCTTTTGGCCCTGTCACTCTCAGGGTGCTCAATGAATTGCCGGTTAAAATAACACGCACCGCAACTTGGATCACAATTTACTTGTTCCGTTGACAATGTTGCATTGCATTGTTTGTGCGACACGCAACATCGTTAAGGTTTAAGTAAGCATTGTGCATACCATCAAACTCAAATCATAATTTTTTAATCAAATCACCAGAAATTTTTGATTGTCGATTTTGACATCGAAAATAATACTTACCACCCCAGATGACTTTTCGACGAAATTATTGGTTAACAAATACAAAGCTTTACGTTTTGTGCGACGAACACGGATTTCATTTTTTTCATCACTAAGGTTTCAAAATTTTTTAGTGAATTTTATAATTTGCAATGCGTTGTTGGAGCTTTTATCTTCCTATTGTCAAAAGTGTACTTTCTACTTGTCAGTTATCGAAAAATAAAGGTTTCAAATCTAATATCAGGTAATTGAAAACAATACCTTTTGTTGAAAACCCCTTTTTATTTTTTTAGAATCAATGAGTAATAACATAATCACCCATCCTGATGTTTTCTAATCAACAATTTTGACTTGTTTTAGTATGTTAAGGCTTTGAAATCGATTAACAACCACCTGTACATATATTTTCTAATTACACATTCTCTATACCAAAAAACAAAAATCATTATATCCTTTATATTCTTTACAGTACCAAAAGATGAACCTGCCTCATTAGTTTTTATCACTCAAACGGATGTACGCCGTATTGATCCTAATAATGGCACCACATTAGCCATTGTCAATGCTGTAGATATATCGGCTGTTGAGATTTGGCATCGCAATAGAAGTCTCTGTACCGCAGAAGCCAGTATGTGGACAACGACAGAATTGAAATGCTATCGCATTGATGATATGAATGTAACATGGGCGCTGCCGTTGCCGGAACTAATTACAAGTACACATGGTAAGTACCGAATGCAATCATCATCATTAGAAGTGAAGCAGCAGAACAAAAACATGAACAAATCAACATTTTTGTTGTTGTTTTTTTTTTTAATCACTTCAAATCGTCGTCAGTCATGATGATGACACAAATATTTGACCACCAGAGTTTAAACTCATTTGTATGAAAAGGACATGGTCATTTGCCATCATCATCGCCACCGACGTCATTGTCTTTATCCGTTTCGTTTATTATTGATGTGCTCTTTAAGCCATGTCCAATATTAGCCACAATGAACTCTTTCTTGTTGTTTGTTGCTGCTGATGTTGTTGTCATTGTTGTTGTTTTCAATGCAATACATACATGCATGTCCGACTTGCGAACGTGTGTTTGTAAACGTGGCTTATAACAATGAGACATTGTTATTTGTTATCCTCTGCCTGCAGTCCGTGCTGAATTAATTTCATCTCATCGTCATTGGCATCATCGGTCGTCGTCATCATCATCGTTCTGGTCGTCAACATCACCAGTCGAAACATTCTCTGTCATTGTTACTGGTGGAGGAATGGGGAGTTTCACAAGATACATATTGAACAAAATGAGAAATAGGACACCGCCTTGCGGTACTCTCATTTTGATCTTGCAATATTTGCATTTTTGGTCACGGAACTCAACGATGCCTTGCCGCACATTACGGTAGTTGGCAAGCCAAAGCTTAATATCACTAACCGTATCTAACGCCTAGGACAGATCTAAAGCAGCCTCAATGGTCCGTTCAGGTAGTCGTCGCTGATTGAAGCCATTCTCAATCTTGGAAGTAATTGCTTGAACAGCCGTTGTTGTGTTATATATATATTTTCCTGAGACCTAGATGGTGGGTGGGGAGCAAGAACGAAATGCTGTTCCAGGGACGGAAGGAATAGAGGCTCTAAACCTTGGCTACTGGTGAAAGAAGAGAAAATCGGGCGGGAGGATTCCCCATTACTAGTGGATTTATCTGGTTTTAGAATTAGAATAATCCGGGCAACTTTCCAAATAGAATTATCAATTGTGACATCGACAACTCGAGAATTTTGGTAAGATAGCGTAGCCTTTAAATTCTTTGGCATCAGAATTGTTGGATTTT